TTAGATTCTCGATTGCACAATCCTTAGGAAATCTGTAGTAACCAAAACTATATTTCTGACAATTGTCATCATGCATCTGCAAATGATTAGTAGCACTTTCAAAAATCTGGCACCGGCCACTATAGATCACATGCATACATTCAGGAATCTTTGCCCGTGTGATGGAAAATTTTGAAATAAGAACATGACCAGTGATTGTTTTAACATTAGGCACGAACAGAGGTTTCTCATTTCAAAGTTGATTTTGTCAGCATTTAATTACGATCAATGTGCCCTGTGTTTGATCTTAGTGGGAGAACACTTGGCGAGAAACTCATCGTGAATCGTTGGCGATCCCGTTTCTAACTTTACAATCTACATTTTTTAATCACCTCACCTGTAATCATATTTCTCAATTACTTTATTAGTTTTCTCCACGATAAACATATAGTCACGTCAGCGCCTGTAAGAGCTAGTCCCTCTAAGACATCACAGGACCGGATTTATTTCCCAAAAAATCTTATTTACTCATTGACTGACTGACGAAAATCGCTCCTTTGACGTAGGAGTGTGGAGCGTATTTCAGTTTTCACGTGAGTCCAGAAATAGAATTTCACAGAGGACAGGGATCACGTCAAAAGCGAGGTAGGTACGCTCGTACGTCAGAGGAGCGACGTAAGTGGAAACTCCTTTTTTGATTCGAATAATAGGGGCTCCTACAGCACAATGTTTGGCTGCTTCCATGATGAAGTATCTTTTTCTCCTTTTATCTACTTTTGGGGTTCCAAAAAGAAGAAATGTTGTTGTCATTCCTAGATTAGCCCCAAGCGACAAGTTTCATTTTCCCTATCAAGTAGTAGTCAAAAATAGTTACAAGACATGGCGCACAAATTTGCTCCAGCACGTAATATCAACATCATCAATAATTGTTCGAGAGAGAGTAAAAAAAAAGGTCAAAGACAAACTGTGGGGAGTCCGTAGTAAGCATGCGCTTTCTCTGTTTACATGTTGGCTTTGAGAATCCTCAGGGGTTTTACACCCCGCGTATGCCGATGAATATTAGGCTTTTTGAGACAGTAGGACCTCTCTTCTCTTTCGGGGGCCTTGGAAGCCCATCGATTTTGATTACTAAAGTTTTGATTATAGGGGTTCCTTCATTCTTTCCCAAGCCTCATTTGAATCTTTGAATGCTATGTTTTTGAGGTTATTGGGGGCTCCTTTAGACCTCTTGGACCGCATTAATACCACTAAATGTTTCAATCGCAAATCTTCAGGGACCCAAATATTTCAAACTAGCGAGCCCTGCATTATTCGTGGCATTAGCAGAGAGATACTCTATTTACAGCGTTTCTCACTCGTTCCGACCAGTTCGCCTTCAATACCTCGGCAGGCAATGTGAGCTACTTGGGAGCAGTAATAGTTGCTGGCAGCGTTTCGGCCACGGTTACTCGATTTGTTCATAGCATGTGGTGACTCAATACTTCAATCAGATTGTTCCTAACTTGTTTCGATCAGTTCGCCTTCAAAATCTCGATGGGCAATTTGAGCTACATGGGGGTAGTAATTGTCGCTCGCAGCATTTCGGCTATGTTTACTTCATTTGCTTATGGCAGCAGAGGTTTAAGAAGGTTACTTTCCATTTTTACCTGTCACTTACTTGCTCTATTACAATTTTTCTGAAATACTTCCTACCCGGCATCACAGATTGCAATGTATTACAATTACATTCGAAACTATGGGATCCCGTTTATCTTTTTTAATATCTCGTGGGACCCGATGATACCTACAAATATGGGAGTTTCAATTCCTAGGGGGGGCCGCCGTTGCTTTCTTACAATTGCAATTGGACCGCGTTAAACAGAAAGGAACCAAGCCGCATCAGCTAAAGCCAAATTCAATTAAGCAATAGAATCTTTTACATGAAAACAGTTGTGTGAATTTTTATGCAAATTTCAGTGGATTTTCTGCATAGTTCTCAGCAAATCCCTTAAAATTTTCAAATTAATACGCAAAAACGTTCTCCTGTCAAAAATGAAGTTGCCGAGTTAAATTTGGTAGTATCTGAGAGGGCTTGGTTCTTTTCTGCTAAAAGCGGCCCAATTGAAGTGCATATTTTTTTTTCTCTTCAACCTTAACCCTGGAGTTATCTTTCAGATTTTCAATTAAAGCTCCGAAGTTCACCGAGTAATGTAGTGATTGCCAAATGCTTAAGTGATAAATAGTCATTCCGTCAGCTAATTCTATGTAATTCTAATGGACCACTAGACAAGGTACGAATTTAAGCAATCTGATACATGTTTCCTAACCAGAATTTCACGTTAAACACGATTCACACAACGAAAAGTACTGAAACCAACTCCTAAGGAAGATATTAACGTTTTTATTTCACATTGGTTACGAGGAATTTGAACTGCCCGCTCACAAGAAACTCAAAGCTCTACGTGAGTCAAATCACGCACTTCAATGGTTTCAGCAAGCTTCTCAATCGAGCAATGTTCATTTCCCACCATGTGTTGTTCAAACTAACAGCAATTTGCTATGGCTGAGCCAAAGCGTCAAGATCGAGATTGCCAGATTTTTATATCGTAGAGACTGTCATGATAATGTTTAGCGCGCGGTGTGAATCACGTAGAGAATTGAGTTTTCATGAGCGGGTGGTTTGAATTCACGC